TTACTATACTATAAAGTGGGAAAAATTAATGTTATAAGTGCTATAATAAAATTCCTTTGATTATTACTCAGTGTTAAAAGAAAAAATGTCTTACAAAACACCAAATGAAATAATAAACTAAAGATTGAAAAATAAAATAAAGAAGAAGAAAGAACTTGATTATCATATAAAATAATCTCAAATATTCAAAATAAAAAAATCAGATAAAAATAAAAGAAACAGGCAAATTTGTTTTTACAAAACAAGAAGAAAAAAGAAGAAAAAAAAGTGCAGGTCCTAAAAACACAACGGACCATTCTAAGCAACACGTACATCTACTGCATGTCAAAATGAAGCCAAAAGCAAAGTATGTGAAAGGTGCAAAGCAAAACATGAAAGCTGTCACTCCATCATCTCACAAGACAATGTTTTAGAAAAGCCATGGAATTTTCCACATCCATTCATCTTTGAAAATTCATGTACATGATTAGTCTCATCTACTGGAAAGGAAATTCAAATCTCTGTTTACGTACTGTTGAGAAGGGGGAGGGGAGAGGATTTTGTTCTTATTTTCATATAGATAATTCACCAGAAGTCGTAACATTGGAAGAGAAGATTTTGGTTCCATTAATTCATGAAAATGTAAAAAGAACATACACAAAAATCTATGAATGAATGTATTCTAATCATTCATAATTCAAAACAAATGTCTTGCAGGTTAATATAACACCTAATGAATCACGAGAGAATGCAATAAACTGAGTTCTTTCTAGGGTATCAATCTGATAATCTAAAGTTATCCCTTTATAATTCAGGTTTTCACTTATTTAAAACTCCATTGACTTGAGAAAAAATATCCTAATGATTTTTTTTTCCAATTTCTTGGTCTCTAATAATTGCCTTTTAATAAATCTGAAGAGTTCATTTAACTGTCTAATGTAAAACAGGTGCAAATAATTTATTTGGAACAGTTCCATTTTCTTGTTAAAAGAAGAAAAAAAGTGGGAAATTTATGCCATAAAAGAATGGATTGTGATAAGATACACTCAAAACACCAAAGCATGTAATGAAAACCACATACTGTACAAAGAAGTCCAATCTTTTGTCAAATAAAATTATGTTCTTCCTCTTTTCTCTTTATTACGAAACAGGCAGTGATTCATGGTGTCCAGGAAAAATATATGGTACCTTCAAATATTCTGCTCTGAAATCCTTATTCCTTTGGCGATGGTTTAAGGATGTTACTTGTCTGATGACTTTCTCAGGGCTGTCTAGCTGAAACTTAAAGATAAGACAATAAATCTTGCTGTTTAAGCTAACTCTTAAGCTTCAGTGCATAGTCTTGTCACCGTGCAGGCCACAGCAATTTGCATACATCCCTCATTCTCTAGCTGCAACATTCTTACATGTTTTAATAAGTTGGTTTCTGAATATTCACTGCAGACTGCTGACGTCTGTTTTCACAGAATCTGAACTTATGATTTGGCCCAAAAGTCAGATATTATTAACCTGTACAGTGCATATACATATTGACCTCAGGATCAGATCATATGCTCAGAGAAACATACATGTCATAAACAATCTGTTTTTTTTATGAACTCTTCCACCAGCAAAGACCTGAAACATCAGTCTCTGATCTGTAATCATCAAAAGTTTATGACTTCAAAGCATATCACCGGCTTTGTATCACTTCATATAAAATCATTATACTTTACAGTTATCATCAAACATATTTCTTTATAAAACACTAGTCAAAACAAACTTTGGCAAATTATACTAATCTATTTTTTTCAACAAAAAATCCTTCTCATAAAATTAATGATAAAAACATATACTGTTGGTATAAAAAGCAATTAATCAATGAAATCTGTAAAGCAAATAAAGCTATATAAAACATACTCTAGACTGGAAAATGCAAAATATGAAATTAACATAAATAAAAAATGCATTATATAATTCATCACTTAACAAAGCATGATACTTATTTCTAAATTCAAATGAATTAATACTAGTACTGTAAATAAAAGAAGTACTGTAATTTTTACCAAAAATATACCAAACTTATAACAACAAACCAATAACAAGTAAACTTAATATGAAAAACATTTCCACATTGTATACCCTTACCCTTATCATTATACATTAATTATTTTCTGTAATCAATATTTCCCTCCCAGGCCTTGGGTTCTGTATTGTATAAACTACTCTTGCCTTCAGATTTTCAATAAAAATACACAGAAGTAAAGAAATTATAGCACATAGAGTTTGCTCCATTCTTCTGGCTGGATACTGAAATCAAAGTTAAAGCAATCATCAGTCTCCCATTACATAAATGAAGTTCTCATAAACTGTATTAAACAATTACTGGTATTCAGCGATACAACTGGTATCGCTGAATACCAGCTGTAATGTTTATTGTTTGCAATACATATTTCTTCCTAGTATATAATACCTACTCTGCCAATAGCAACCATATACAGTAAATCTTCAGAATACCCTCACATGACCAATTATGGTGATA